CACCATCAGCTAACAGTTTTTGGTCTTTACCTGTATGCTATTGTCATTGTTTTATCAAATGTAACACAGGATTTTCCAAGTGCTTGGTTCAGCTAAACAAAGCTCCTGGGGTTAAAATCGTTACTAGGACTGGAATATCATTTGTTGTTTAAGGGTGAATTCTGGACATAATGGAGAAGTAAAATATTTGGATCATCAAAAAAAGATGCAGGAGGAAATGATTCAATTAGGACCCACAAAGGGGAGGGTGGAAATCCAGGAGATTCCTTGGAATCTTATTTTTATTATTTATGTTTGATATATATCTGTAAAAGTTTAATTTGAAAAACCACACACACACACACACACGAAACCAAGCCCTCTGACTCAAAGAAGGGCAAAATCTTCTCCATTTCTGTCTAACCAAAAAGTGATGCATGTTTGGGACATCTATCTGTAGAAGCAATTTTCATAAGTATAAGGTATTTTCTAATTTTGATATTTTTCATGGCCAATTTTTATATCCTTCCCCACTCCCATTTTTGATGTATAGTAAAGAAATTCAATAAATTGTAATTGGTGGCATCCAATGCCCTTGTTCCATAAGCACAAAGTTTTTCAGCTTGCAGAATAGAGCTCCCCCCTCCCACCCGCATTGCCCCATGCCTGCTCTTGAGGATTGTGGGAACATCCAGAACATATTTGGGAGATGGGACTGGGAAGGAGATGGAGGGAGTTCCACTGCACAAGCAGAAAACCTTGCCCTAACATGAGTGACTTGGTGCTCTTTTGGATACAAGCAAATGCTTTTCATGATTACTTATAATTCAGCTGTATCAAGTAATCACAGCTGACAAATGTGTGTTCCTGCCACCCCCAATTTCCATACATAGCATTAATATTATGTTTTTAAAAATGTATTCCATATTTTAGCTAACCATTTCTGTTAAATGCATTGGGTGATGCCTTCAAATGTTTGTGTATGTTTTTAAAAGATCGCTCTTGCAATTATTAAAATCTAAAATGTTGTCTTTTATTTTCCTACTGATACTATTTGTTGCATGCAGTTCAAGGGGAATACTAAATTATGTGCATTTTCTGAGTTGTTATCCTTCGTGTTATTGTGCATTGCTCTCCATTTTAAAGGCACAGAGACATAATTATGCATGGTTCCCAATCGAAAGGCACAGACAAGACAGTTATTGTGCATCCACCTGATATGGTAGACACACCATGTTCCCAATTCAGAATGAAGAACAGTTGCATATGGTTGTTCCATCTGAGGAGTGCTCAACATAGCTTCATACTTGACTGCTGACCCGTTTCCTATTTAAAATCAATATTTAGCTTCTTCTTCTGTTATTTTTTACCAGATTCACAATGGGGGGGGGGACTTTCACTTTGGTTGTGGCACTTATCTACATCTCCCAATATCTGATTTTTTGATCCTGCAAATGAAAATCATTGCCTCTAATTCAGAAACATTGATTCCTAAGCCTAGACCATGGGTAGGCAAACTAAGGCCCGGGGGCCGGATCCGGCCCAATTGGCTTCCAAATCCAGCCTGTGGATGGTCTGGGAATCAGTGTGTTTTTACATGAGTAGAATGTGTGCTTTTATTTAAAATGCATCTCTGGGTTACAGTGGTACCTCGGGTTAAGAACTTAATTCATTCTGGAGGTCTGTTCTTAACCTGAAACTATTCTTTATCTGAGGTACCACTTTAGCTAATGGGGCCTCCTGCTGCCGTTGGGCCACCGGAGCACAATTTCTGTTGTCATCCTGAAGCAAAGTTCTTAACCCGAGGTACTATTTTTGGGTTAGCGGAGTCTGTAACCTGAAGCATCTGTAACCTGAAGCGTCTGTAACCCAAGGTACCACTGTATTTTTGGGCCATAGGAATTCGTTAATTATTTTTTTCCAAAATATAGTCTGGGCCCCCACAAGGTCTGAGGGACAGTGGACCGGCCCCCTGCTGAAACAGTTTGCTGACCCCTGGCGTAGACACATGTATGAAGGATATGCTTTTCACATGTACAGGTGTGTGTGTGCGTGTGTGTGTAAAATCCATCCTGTTCTGAAATCCCAGTGAAGCAGGCTATGACTGTTATGTCTTTTAGCATAGTGGTATAGCAACAGGTGGGACACAGGTGGTGCTGTGGGTTAAACCACAGAGCCTAGGACTTGCCGATCAGAAGGTCGGTGGTTCGAATCCCCGCAATGGCGGGAAGGTAAACGGCGTTTCTGTGCGCTGCTCTGGTTCGCCAGAAGTGGCTTAGTCATGCTGGCCACATGACCCGGAAGCTGTACGCCGGCTCCCTCGGCCAATAAAGCGAGATGAGCGCCGCAACCCCAGAGTCAACCACGACTGGACCTAATGGTCAGGAGTCCCTTTACCTTTATCTTATAGCAACAGGTAAGGCAGAATCAAGGTCAGGACCCTGGACAGAGCACTAGGAAAGGGGAACTGTTGCTTCAGAGTCTGCCAAAGCCATGCCTTCTGGTCCAGAAAGGCCTAATACGGGAGATGGAAATACCGCTGTGGGGAACGGGGCAAACATCTCCATCTGCTGGCTGAGAAAACAAGCCTCAGCTCCTTCACAATGTCTCATTGCAGGTTCTAGGGCCCAATGGGAAGTATTAAGTTCTGGAATTGACATTACAGATAGTCCAGCTGTGACACTGGCCTGACCACAGAAGTTCAGCCAAAGGATATGTTATATTCACTTCTGAACAGATACATATTCAGATACAGGGATCTATTATACAATATAGATATTATAATCATTAAATGAGCAAAACCTCCTATCAATAGATGGCACTGTCATCTTCTATATCTGTCTTCTACTCTTGCTGTTCTGTCTTTGGGGACATTTCTTTAAAAAGTCAAATCTATGATGGATGGCTATGCTGCAAGGATAGCTTGCAAGTCATTTTTAAAGTTTGTCCCTCTTGTAGAAATATTTTCACTCCTGGTACTGGCAGAATTCATTGCTGCTGCGGTAAAATTATGTCTTTGGCACTTAATGCCAAAAATAGGCTTCTGAGTGGCTTATAAAGTATGAAACCCAGTTGCACAGTCATTAAAATGCAAACAGTAAATCTTTGGCTTTCAAATTTGGCAGAGTGAGTTGGTCCCCTCGGACAGCTGATTTGGGGTGTCATCGTGAAAGGGCAGTAAACATTTGTTTATTTTTGCATTTGATTGCCAGGTTTGAGATTTTCTGGTTCCAAAATTATGTGGCTCACGTTGGTGTCATGGATGGGCCACAGACAGCCACGTGAGCTGAGCCAGGAGCCATGGGATCAGCCAGGAGTCAGGACCAAAGAGTAAGACTGCATTCAGGCAGCCCTTTTCCCCATTTCCTAATGTTTCCTTACCTGATAATCTTTGGGGGGTTTTATGTGATATTTCACATGACATAAAATACACTTCTAGAAATCTAGCAGAATCTAGCAGAGGTTTAGTGTTCATTTCCCTGTTGTTTCCGGGGGTAGGGATGTTTGCAACCCTGACAACCTGGAAAATTGTAAATTGTAATAATAATGATGATAATGATAATAATTTATTTATACCAGCCACACTGGGCGGCTCCCAACAGAATATTAAAAACACAAGAGAACACCAAACATTAAAAACTTCCCTAAAGAGGGCTGCCTTCAGATGTCTTCTAAAAGTCAGATAGTTGTTTATTTCCTTGACATCTGATGGGAGGATGTTGCACCGGGGGGGCGCCACTACCAATAAGGCCCTCTGCCTGGTTCCCTGCAATCTCACTTCTTGCATTGAGGGAGCAGCCAGAAGGACCTTGGAGCTGAAACTCAGTGTCCGGGATGAAAGATGAGGGTGGAGACGCTCCTTCAGGTATATTGGGCCGAGGCCATTTAGGGCTTTAAAGGTCAGCACCAACACTTTGAATTGTGCTTGGAAACATACTGGGAGCCAATGTAGGTCTTGTAATTTTCTTGGTGCTTTCATGGGTGGCAACACCAAGGCGCACCATTCCCCTACCCTGAAGTTACCAAACTGTCAGAAGCTACTTGATCTGTGTGATCCATTGAAGTTTGAGTGGAAGCTTCCCAGTGACATATCTTCAGGCATTGGACTAACTTCTACCCAGGCTGGTCATCGGATCCTTCTGGACAAGAGGACTTTCTGTTGCAGTTAAGCCTTGCTTAAGTAACATTTTTCTGAGCTGTGATATGTTCCTGTATTCTTGAATATTCTTCAGTCCTGGCTTCTGGCTATAATGCTGATTCTTCTGTCCAGATTTGTAACATTCTTTTTAAATTGCATTATGGAACTGTGGCTTTTTAAAATGGTTTTTTCTGTAACATCATGGTAGAGTTCTTTCCTATCAATGGGCATAATTTGTCACAACAGCAGATGTCATTGAACATGTTGCCACCTTTTATGCACATTTTATGCCATTCTCAATTCATTAGCATCTAAGGGGGAATTTCTCCAAATATACACTTTTTAAAATTCAATTTTACTTAATATGCACGATTCTGCAAAGCAAAGAATGCTTCATCCTAGTGCATTTTTGTACCCATTACCGCTGAGGAACTGCATTGCAAAATGGAGAGAAATGTGAATTTCAAAGAATGGTTGTGTTTCAGTTTGCTTATTGTTTTGATAAGCGCAAATTAGGTAGGTTAGCCCCCCCCCCACCAAACTGAATCCTACCAGAAAGATCGTGTTTGCAAGATATCTAGCTCACTATTCCATAAAGAGCAACCTTATGCATCTAGGACTCTGTAAAAAGTGCTTAAAGTTCTTTGGCATTGGTTTTGAGCATTGTATAAAAACCTAACACAGTCTACTCCAATTTCCTTTCCCTCACCAAGGGAACTGGAAATCCCTGTGCTTGATTCCCCTGATAGTCATAGCCATCACAGGCTTCTTGGAGCCCTGTTTGCATACAACCAGGCAAAACAAATTTGATTTCCATTCCCCTTAAGTGAGTCCAAATGGGAGAAATGAACAAGACAAACAAGGTCATTTCCCTTACACTCTCCCATTATTTAGATTTCATTTTGCTCATGCCACAGCTGATCAATGCCTCGTGGTTTTTGTTTGCCGTTAGACCAAGTAGAGAAGCGATCCGATGATTTCTGTAGTCTATATATAGAATATCGAGGAGAGAGGCATAGGAGGAAGTTGAACAAGAGGCTGCTTCCTTCCAAAGAAGATTAACACCATTGGCTTCTGTGCTGCTGGCTGAACCTCCAGTTCTGCTGCTGGATATTGATATATATTCTTGCTGGCATTAATATTGCTGTTAAGCAATTATTCTCTGGCCTCTTTTTGTCCTCCTTCAGGACTGCTTTAGCAAATGGGAGAGAAACAACCATGTCACTTCTGGGTAGGGATGGAAATCTGTTAATTTCTCCGTTTCTTCTTTTTTCCAGTCTCAAATTCAGTTGGAGAACTGCACTGCAAAATTCATAGAAGTGAATATTTCAAAGGATGATTGTTTCTCAGTTTTCATATTGATTTGAGAAGTGTAAATTAGGTAGCTTCTCATTAAAATTGTAAACAAAACTGAATTTCCTACCCATTTCTACTTTTGACTGGAACCAGCATTCAGTCCAGGGATTGAGATAATTTTTTATATATATAAAAAAGCAATGAATCAAAATGTTGCAGTAGCAAGCTTTTGAGTTCTCCAAAATTGTTCATCAGGCAAGATGTTACATAAGGCAGGAGTTGAAAAGGATGATGAAGAATTAAGAAGTACCGAATCATGTGTAATGGAGGACAGAATCACAGAGCTAGGCTCTGGTTAAGGTAAAGGTAAAGGGACCCCTGACCATTAGGTCCAGTCCCAATTACTGGAAATACAACAGCAGTTGTCATTCAGTTTGCAACTGAAGGGTTAATTCTGTTCTCAGTGTTAAGTCTACTGAGCTTGGGGTGGGGGCCCATAGTTTAGCAACGGGCAGAAGTAGCACATGCTCTGATTGGCTGTGCAGTTCTGAGGGAGCTTTTCCTCTATATGTTTGGTTGTATGTTTCTCTGCTATGTAGAAGGCTTGATGTAAGAAAGACAAAACGTCTCCGTTCCTTTGTCTTCGCTGTGTTTTTGTTCAGTTTTGCTCAGTAAAGTGTTAGCAGGATTTCTATTCTCTTGGGATTCTGTCTGCATTATTTAACAGACTTTGTTAGCACCAGTGACTAAGGGAGGTTCTGCTGAATCTAGGTAGGAAGCTTAAGTTCTGCGCTGAGCTTTGAGTCTGGATGTGCCACAAACTTAATTGGATGTGTGGATCCCTCAGTGAATATTCAATTTACTGCTAACGGCAGTGTTCCATTCTGCTCCACTGCATATTCTGGTTCTGTGGGCAGGCTTCCATGTAATATAATATCACAGGGGGCTGCTTACATAAAACATCATGGTTGTTCTATTAGAAACAGATGGCATCTTCATGGGCTCTCACACTCAGTTTGTTCTGATATCATGATAACCTGGCAAGGGGTTCATGTCACCATTCAACAATTCGTTACCCTTTGTTTGACAATCGTCTAAGAAGAAAACCCAGAGAGGTTTGCATGTATGAGTTCCTGGTTGGTGATCTGCCAGTTGCCTAGAAGCTTTCCTCTTCCAGTTTTCATGTGCCTGTATGATTTTCATGATAAGGCGGGTTCACTGCAATTTATATGCCACCAGAATGACATAATTAGAAGCATAGAAGAAGCAGTTTATACCAGGTCTCCAATCCATTGGTCCATCTAATTCAGCAGGATCCCCACCGATTGTCACAGGTTCTCCAGAGGTTCAGAAAGGAGCATTCCCAGTGGAGATGCTTGGGACTGAGCTTCTGTGGACAAACAATGTGGTATGCCACTAAGCCAAGGCCCATAGTGATAGAGGGGGAATGTGTTTTGTACTAGAGCAAAGCTTACAAAACATCTGATAGCTGATACATATTTTTGAAAAATAAAAAAAATCCTCAATTAAAGTTGGATCACGCTTCAACGTTGCGCGTGGATGAGTAGTTGCCTCAAAAAGGGACTCTATTAATCCAGTTCAGTCCCAGTTTAATCCAATCAATTGTTAAATGAATGTACCGATTAAATAAATATGATTTTCTGTTTTACACTTTAAAATACTCATTTAAATATCCTTAAAATATCAATGACTGGCCTTCTTCTCTTTCCATGGTTCATTTTGCATATGTTAAATCCTTGCATATTGTCTATAAACTAAACCACTCAGTATTCCATTATTACATCAATCAAAACTTATTTACACTGTTGAATTTATCTTAATGCTGCAACATTTTCAAGTGTACACAATTTCCTCCCATATATTCAATAAACATTTTCCAGTCTTCTCTAAACGTATGTTTTTCTTGTTCTCTTACGCTATATGTTACATCTGCAAGCTGCACATATTGCATCAACTTAAGTTGCCATTCTTCTTTGGTTTGGATCTTGCTCATTTTCCATTTTGGGGCTAACAAAACACAGGCTGCACCTGGGAATTTCTGTCTGAATTATTCCTAACAAAATGGACTCTGGGCTTTTCTTTTGAAAAATACTTTTAAGCATGTTTTTCAATTCATTATGGATTATTTCCCAATACTCTTTTACCCTTTTACAGGTCCACCACACGAAAAGTACCTTTTTTCATGTAGAAAACTAATGTATCAGGAAGAAGAGTTGTGCCCACACAAAGAAGACAACTTGAGCCATGACTTTCTTTTATCATACAAAGGAGCTCTGGTGTGAATCTAGCTGCACTGATGGAAGCACTTGGTGGCCTCCTCTTCTGATGTGAACAGGGCAAGTCTACCCTGCCATAGCTATAGGCAGTAACTGACTTGCCTCCATCCTTGCTGGCCACAAGCTTGCATGAGGTCATGGCTTACATCATAAAAGCGGTCGATTGTGAGCTATTTTCACTTGATCCCACTGTGTGTACTGTAAGCTTGAGTTCAGTATGGAGATGTGGAGGCTCCAGCTGCTTGATGGGAGTTGGGAGATGGGCCTGGTCCCACCTGGAGTTGCCAACGGTTATTTAAAAGAACAGTGGGCTAGTGGCCAAGGAGGATCCTTCACTGTTGGTGGTCTTGAGGAACATAAGGCTGCCAAGTAGGTGAAGCTAAGCAGGAGTGGGACCTCGCTGGTTTTCCATTTGGGGGCTAACAAAACATGGGCTGCAGTAGTGGTATACATAAATAAACTTTTTTGACACCTGGGAATTTCAGTCACATGGGCTCCATCCTTGAGCCCTGCCCACAACCCCTGTTCACGTAGCTGTATGTGTGCATCACACAATCCACACCCGATTGAGAACCTCGTAAAAGTTAATCGAATGCACTCTGGATAACTGAACAGAATTGTGGGAGATTGTTCCCCTGAAAAAGTGGCAAAACTCTTCCTCCTCTTCCCCTCCTGTGCTTCTTGCTGTTGCCTGTCCAACAATATTCTGACTTGATTCTCTGAAGGGAAGGGAAAATGATTTGGTTAAGTGACGGGTCTGCTCCGGGGAAATGCAAATTGACAAGAGATGCAGCCAGATTTGCTCCTAAGGCTGTGTTTTCACTTAGACAACCATCAGAAACCTTCCTGGTCTCCAGAAGAAACAAATTGCTTTGATCTTAAATGCGCCAAATACCATTAGGGTTCTCCCCACTTGCTTAGGAGTTAATCTCACCAGATAAAGGAGAGCCAGCTCCTTTAGGCAAAGTACAGCTCCAGACTCCATTTTAAGCCCTACAAAATTAATATATTGCTGGTAGCTTTGTATTTTCATTTACGTTGCCTGCACAGTGGCTTTCCGAAATTGGATATTAATGATTTACGCTGTAATTTATGTATGTCCATAAAGCAGAGCTGGAGTAACATTTGAGGAATCAAAATCTTACTCTTGGGCATTTCCAGGGCAATGTATCTAACCATTAACCCTTTCTGAAATTGCTCAAGGGGGTCATTTCCAATTCACATTTATGAATAAAGCAAATGCTCATTAGCTTGTCCTTCATTCTGTTCCAGATTTCTTAAGGGGAGGGGGGAAAAACATGCCACGCAGCAAGTTTTCTCCTTGAAAGTTCAATATCCACCAGAGCTATTTACAATATAGTGGTTTTTAAAATTACCCAGCACTCATTGGGCAACCCTCTACATTTCACTCAACATGGGACCGCTGCTGAAAACAACATCCATGCGACATGTCCCATCCCAAACCCATGGAACATAGGATCTGCTAACCTCCATTATAATATTGTCATGTTGTGCATTCCCTGCTCCCAAATCATATCACTGATGGAGGTTGGAAGAGGCAGGGAATTGTGCGATTCAACCAAAATAGCAAATGGGCTAAAAATGAGCCTATGAATTTGGACATTGTAATGGTTCTAGGGGTTGCTCGTGCATAAGCCGGTGCTGATCTCCCCGGCTGGGTGCAAACACCTGGCTGGGTTGCCAAAGTGAACCTTTTCTGTCCGGACAGCCACTCACCCGTGGCTGACTCAATCGCTGGCAGAATCCGTCAGTGGGCGTTTCTTAAACTTCTTCCAGCAAAGAAGCTTTTTGACGCCTAGTCTCCTCCTACTCTCTCTGCGTGAAAGCCTTCTGCACAAGGAGGACGTGGGCAATGGAGGACCCCTACTCTCCCCGCTGGTCCCAGGCAAGGAGTCATGGGACCGCCTCGCCACTTCCCCCATCTGCCCCCCTTCTCCACTGGTGCTACGCTGATTCTCTTCCCCAGAAGATGGGCTGCTTCTCCCGATCCCTGGACGCTCTCTGGAATCCCTCTGGCTTTTGCTCTCTCCCTCCGGCACTGATGGCAGTTCCCTGACAGACATGTATATTGCTAAAGGGTTTCTGGGAAATGATATATAATGAACAAAAGAAGATCTTTAAAAATACATTTGTTTAAAAAACCAGAAGCCTTTTTGGTAGGTATAACAGGTGAAGAGTTACCAAGAGAAGATAAAATACTTTTTTATGCACGCAGCAACAGCAGCGAGAATGGTACTAGCCCAGAGATGTCCGAAAAGAGAAGTACCAGAAAAAGAAGAATGGCAGGTGACTTCCTCTTAGCTGCGTTTTAGTGGAGATCCTCCCATCCTTTTGAACAGCAGAACTTCCAGTAATCTCTTTTTTTTTTACTTTGCTTCAATCCGCCCACTTATTTGTAAACAGAAATGTGTCCATCAGTTAATTCTGATGGGGCCTGGCTGACCTCCTGAGATGCTTTTCTAACCAATAAACCTCAGGGGTGAGGGCTTAGAACAGCTCTGCATTTTTTTTGCTGGAATTTGTCTCTCTCAATCCAAGCTCTAACCAGAGTTGTTTTCAGGCTTTTGGTTTTTCACTTCCCATTTTATGCCAATACAAAGAATGGAAGCTAGAGAAGAAGAAAATAAAACTGCCTATTTCTTCATCCAGTGTGATTAATCACTTCACTGCTGCTGAACTTTTGGAGACATTCCTGGAAGCAAATGCACAATCCTGTACAGTGTGCTCTTTTGACCTTATCTTAAAAGGGCTGCCCTTTAAGAATGATAGAGACCAAATGGAATGAGTTCAGAGGAGGGTAAGATGGTCAGCAGTATGGAAAATAAGTCCTACATGAAGGAAGGCTGAAGGAGCTATAGAATCATAGAATTGTAAAGTTGGAAGGGACTCCAAGGGTCATCTAGTTCAAACCCCTGGGTAAATGGGTAGGATTATGATAGCACTCTTCAAATAGCTAGAGGTCTGTCATGGAAAAGAGGGCAAAGGCATGTTTTTCTGTGGTCCCAGTAAGGTAAAAGGTAAAGGAACCTTGGACGGTTAAGTTCAGTCAAAGGCGACTATGGAGTTGCCGCGCTCATCTCACTTTCAGGCTGAGGGAGCTGGCATTTGTCTGCAGACAGCTTTCCAGGTCATGTGGCCAGCATGACTAAACCTTTTCTGGTGCAACAGAATACTGTGATGGAAGCCAGAGCAACAGAAATGCCATTTACCTTCCCACCTCTACGGTACTTATTTATCTACTTGCACTGGTGTGCTTTTGAACTGCTAGGTTGGCAGGAGCTGGCAAAGAGCAATGGGAGCCATCACAGGGATTTGAACCACCGACCTTCTAATCAGCAAGCCCAAGAGACTCAGTAGTTTAGACCACAGCTCCACCCGCTTTGGTCGCAGTAAGCAGAGCTAGATCTAGTGACAATCAGTCAATTTCGCTTGCCCCTTTAGTCATGTCATATCATGAAGCTGCAGTGACACCAGAAGAGCCCTCTTTCAGAAGGTGGACCAGCCGGGGGAGGGGGAGAGAAATATAGATGAAGATTTGTGTATGGAAGTCATGAAGGAAGAGGAAGAGGCACAAGGTATGATGGATATTGGAATGCTAAGTCTAGAAATATGAGTTCCAAGGAAAGACAGGGCCTTTCTTAGAACTAAGGGGGAACAGTTGGAGAAATTATTGAAATTACATAAATTATAGAATGGAAATTGAAATGTGAGTGAGAATGGCTGAGCAAGTGAAGGCTGGGATGTTGCATTTGCAAGAGAACCACAAGGCAAGGACAATGGAGGACAGAGCCTTCAAACGCTGAAGGCTGAAGGAAGAAGGCCATTGTAATATCAGAAGGTTGTTGTTATGCCACACAATTTAGACAGACAAAATAGCTGTTGTTTAGAAATGCTATTGCTGGGTCTTTTCCTTGCCATTTTCGGAACTCCGCTCGGCCAAGCCAATAGGGCCTCATCTTCCTCTGAGCCGAGCCTTTGAAATTGCCTCTGACGTGTTTAATGACCTGAGCCTTTGATAAGGCCTCAAGCACATTCTATCCAGCAGGGTTCCCAGCACAGGGAAGAGACGAGAGGTTTGGCTACATTGTAAAGAGTTTTATTTCTAAACTACGCAGAACAGAAAAGACATCCTCTCTCTATGAAAGCAGAGAGCAACTGAACAAAGGAACAAAGGAAACAGGAAACCATTAACTTCACATCCCGTCTCCCTTTCCTGTGAGACTGCAAGGTCTCTGGAATGTAAACAGAGTCCTGTGACTCCATGCAGCTGCTCAGTGAGAAACAAAAACGAACAGCCATGGCACTTTGATCTCTGCCTAATCTCTGGGTTAAGTGCAATGAATTTATGCAGTGCAACCCATTGCCTACTTGGGTGAGGGGCTTTCCCTCCCTGGAGATTTTCAAGCAGAAGCTGGATAGCCATTAGTTGGGGATGCCACATATTCTCTGCATCTAACCAAAAGGTTGAGCTGCAAGGTTGCATCCATATTTATGATTCTATGACTCCCAACCCAATGGTAATTTCCAGATATGCAGATGGGTACAGAAATATCGTACACCAACACACACAAGCAAAATGCTAACATGCTGCAAGCCAGGAATGAATTTTAAAAAGTAACTCTCCTGAGAGCCATAAGCATCCACCCACAAAGGAGGTGACATCGCTGGAAGATTTACTGCCCTGGCTTTGTCTCATATTCTGACTTCCATGCACCAGGTGTAACCAGATCATTTAGATAAAGCAGAATTCTTTACTCTTTGGAGGGACAGACCTCCCAGAGCTTCACGCTCCCCATCAGGGTCCGAGCAGAGGAGGAAGAGTGGTGTAGACCGCCTCCCCATCCTGACTCTTCCAGGGAGGAGAAAGAGGAAAACAGTATAGATTGAGAACAAGGGTTTGCGGGAAGTCACATGTGCTGGTCCCGGGGGGAAGGTTACCGTTGGCGTAGTCAAAGTCCGGTCCTGGGTCACTGGTCTGGAAACAGTTCACAAGGAGCGAGGTGGGGTCTGAAGCAGGAAGCCGGGCGGGGACAGGAACACTGGGGGAACAGGACTGGATGCTGGCCGAAACAGCTCATCAACGACGACGTTGCTCCCGCAACCTGGGACCGGGCTGACTGGCCTTTATCTTCTCTGAGGCCAGGTGCGGTCCCGGCCCCCAGGAGACCCGCCTCTCCTGGCCTTAAGGCGAGCACTCCTCCTGGGAGAAACCAGTTCCCTTTGCCTCTCTGCCCTGAGCCTCTGCAGTTCAGGAGAGGCTGAAGGGTTACTGGGCCCAGGGGGAGACTCACCTGTAGGCACTGAGTCCTCAACCACCTCTGGAGCCAGAATGGATTCACCTGGTGCCTGCTCCTGAGGATCCGGCACAGGTGTAGGCACCTCAGAATCAAGGTCCTGCCCCAGTTCAGCCGGCCCTGGAGGCGGGGACTCCTGTGCAGGCTGGGATTCCTCCGGTTCAGCCTCTGAATCGGAATCCCAGGCCATCACATCACAGCTCAGAGGCAGATGCATAGCTGTCAACGTTTCCCATTTTTTAAGGGAAATTCCCTTATTCCGAATAGGATTTCCCTTTAAAAAAGGGGAAAGTTGATGGGCAGATGAGGGTAAAAGTTGGGAAATCATGGGAAAGGAGGAGCAGACAGAGCCAGAGCAGCAGCTGACCGACACATTGTCACTAGAAAGCATTCCAGACCCACCATCTCCCAGAACTAGGCGAGCCTTCTTCTTCTGAGAGAGGCTATATAACCCAGCCTCTTGGATAATGGCGTTGTCACGAGTGAATCTCCATCTCCCCCCATCTCTTCCACTTCCTCATGCATCATGATCCTAATCTCCTCTATGGGTGCCGCTAAGTGCCCTCTGTCTTTGAGCTCTTTGCTCTCCTACTTTTAAGGCTCGCCTAGTTCTGGGAGATGGTGGGTCTGGAATGCTTTCTAGTGACAATGTGTCAGCTGCTGAAGTCAGAAGAAGAAGAAGAAGAGGAGGAGGAGGAGGAGGAGGAGGAGGAGGAGGAGGAGGAGGAGGAGTTTGGATTTGATATCCTGCTTTATCACTGCCCTAAGGAGTCTCAAAGCAGTTAACAATCTCCTTTCCCTTCCTCCCCCACAACAAACACTCTGTGAGCTGAGTGAGGTTGAGAGACTTCAGAGAAGTGTGACTAGCCCAAGGTCACCCAGCAGCTGCATGTGGAGGAGCGGGCAAGCGAACCCAGTTCACCAGATTACAAGTCTACCACTCTTAACCACTACACCACACTGGCACACTGTAAAGTTTGGAATAAAAAAAAGGACTGTAAGAAACTTTTCATTGTTTTTATACTTTCCTGGGCATCCAGCCAGGAGCTGCTGACAACACCCTGACAGTACCACTTGTCAAACTGAAGCAGGCCATTGAGCCAGGGTATTGTGAAGAGGCAAGAATAGTTAATTATTGATTTATTATTATTGGAAGTCCATCTTCCCTTCCCTGGCAATAAAAATACGACTAAGTCCACCAGGCCATTTTGACCAAGTCACACCCACCTGCATAAAGGCATGGCTGCACCAACTGAGAGTTTGGCAGTCCCAGCAAAAATCCTGTACACAGTGCTTTGCGAACCCTGCTGGGACTGCCAAACTCACCATTGGTTATTCTTGCCTCTACACAATACCCTGGATCAATGTTCTGCCTCAGGGAGTCTTCTGAGCTCAGGGCCAGCTGATTGTTGGTCTTACAAGGGGGTTTACACAGAGCCTTACAAGCTTCAGTGACCAGACGATCACTGGGGCTTGCGTAGCTACTCCACTGAACAGTCCTCAGTTGGCTACATGGCCACCTATTATCCTAAGTTTAGCCTGTATTACAATATATATGTTATGCTTTGCTTTGGAGAGAATAAAAGCAGACAGCTAAAGTTTCATGCACAATACCAAAGGCACAGTACCACTGAGCCTAGGGCTTGCCAATCGGAAGGTCGGAGGTTTGAATCCCCGCAACAGGGTGAGCTCCTGTTGCTCGGTCCCAGCTCCTGCCAACCTAGCAGTTCGAAAGCACGTCAAAGTGCAAGTAGATAAATAGGTACCGCTCGGGCGAGAAGGTAAACGGCGTTTCCGTGTGCTGCTCTGGTTTCGCCAGATGCGGCTTGGTCACGCTGGCCACATGACCCGGAAAAACTGTCTGCGGACAAACACCCGCTCCCTCGGCCAGTAAAGTGAGATGAGCGCTGCAACCCCAGAGTTGTTCGTGACTGGACTTAACTGTCAGGGGTCCTTTACCTTTAACAAAGGTGCACAGGGTGCACACCGTTTCA